AATATGAATAAAGATATTATAAAATAATAAATATAGCAATATCCATTTAAAAAGAAAGCAAGATGGATAAATATGGTCATATATAGTTGTTGTAGACGTGTGTTAAGCAATGAGTTATTTGTTTTGTGTCACATTTTTATTCAATAATAACAAATGGTGTATATTTCATAAATTGAGTAGTGAGAGGACCAATTGGCTTAATTAAGTAATTAAGTTACATGTCATTATTATAGATAGGTAGTCAATTATAAACCAAATAAAATACTTCTAATTTACTAAATCACTAATTGGTTTAGTCAAACTTACACATTACTTAATGCCTTAATAAATATACAAAAGAGAACATTTCAATTTCGGTCATAGGGATTTTGTAATTTCAGCACCTGACTTTCAAAAGTGTCAATTTTGTATCTTGACTATGCAATTTTTATTAATTTTGGTCATTCCGATCAAATTGTCGGTCAAATTTTGCCGGAAAATTTTAACAATTAAAATAATAAGGGTATTTTAGTCATTTCACATCTCTTCCTTCTTCTCCGGCGAATTATTTTTTTTCGGCGAATTTTGGTCACTCCTGTTGCACGCGATCTGATCGCGCAGAATATTAGCTTACCGTTGGTCAAATTAAACTACTATTGGCCCATCTCCATCTCCGCTTACGGGGATACTACCAAGATCTCGCCATCGGTTCAGCAAGCCCTCAATAACACCGGCATCGCCCTCAACCATGTCCCTGCAGGTATGTATCTCTGTGTTTGTAGTGGTTCTGGAAGGGTTTTAAGCGGAGAAAACGGCGTCGCAGAGAGCGCACTTGAGCAATGGTGTACGAGTTGGTGCCGGTGGTCAAGGCTGCTGCAAAGCAACTGAGGTTGTTTGGCGTGAACATCGTCGGCGTTGAGCCTCGGGGTGTTGACGCGGGTCGGGGCGACCCGGATCGCGATGATGGTGTTCTCTCCGCCGGAAAAAAGAATTCGCCGAAGAAGAAGGAAGAGATGTAAAATAACTAAAATATCCTTATTATTTTAATTGTTAAAATTTTCCGGCGAAATTTGGCCGGCAATTTGACCGGAGTGACCAAAATTGATAAAAATTGCATAATCAAGGTACTAAATTGACACTTTTAAAAATCAGGTGCTAAAATTTAACAAAGCCCCTATAGTCATATGATAAAAATTGAAATATTCTCATATACAAAAATATATATAATATCGGAAAATATTATAAATGTAACATCTAGAGTAGCACGTATCAAAATGATGATAGCTTTTAATTATACATTAGTCCCTAACAACTTCGATCAATGTTGAAAAAACGCTAGGCACCCTCTAGGCGCCTGACTTGGGGACCGCTTAGGGCGCCTATGAGGCAGACCGCCTAGTGCCTAGGCGCGATTTTTATAACAGTGACTTCGATAGAATAGAAAAAATAGAGTAAATACTAATTTTGGTCCCACGAGTATTTGCAAAATGACAGTTTTGATCCACATGTTTAATTTTTACCAATTTTCATCCACGACTATTGTTTGAATGCCAAAATTTATCACACTGGTCACCCATTCGTTTAAGACATGCCTAAATATGAAATTATGAAGGATATTTTCATCATTTTCAAATTAAAATTCCAATTTGAGCATGAATAAAGGAATTTAAGCCCTAAGGTCGATCCAAATTCGCAGTTTTTCTCCTCAAATTAAGGTAGGATGAGGAGGAGAATTGCGAATTGGGATCGATCTTAGGACTTAAATCTATTTATTCGTGTTCAAATTGGGATCTTAAGTTGAAAAGGTCAAAAATACCCTTAAAATGTTTATATTTTGACATGTCTTAAAAGGAAGCTAGGGTGGCTAGTGTGATGAATTTTGGCACTAAAACAATAGTGGTGGATGAAAATTGTTACTAAAATAATAATCGTAGATAAAAATTGATAGGAATTAAACCTGTATTTCAAAACTATCATTTTGTTAATACTCGTAGGACTAAAATTAGTATTTGCTCGAAAAAATAAGAAAGATAATATCGTAAATATTTTTTATTTTTATAAGTGTATAAGAAAGTAACCGCAGGTTATGATTATATCTAACAACATATTTAATGCTATTAATAATTTAAAAAGGAAAAAAATGATAAAATAAAATTAGAAAAGAACTTACAAGTGTATTAAAAAAAAAAAAAAACCCAATATATAAATTATGATTAGAAATTGATATACCAACTCATTATTTATTCATTAAAATATATATAATAATTATTTCACTATTATGTATTGGATAGATTAGATAAAATAGATTAAGGTTGCTTGTGGACAATTCCAATATATTGAGGTTTTTCAACTATGAATGCATATGCAAAAAAAAGGTAACATGCACGCAACACCAATTTGGTCATCAACTTGAATTGGTACTTGTTTTCATATTAGTCATTTTCCTTTAATTTTCCAACCTTTCATCTTGCGTATCTTGAATGATATTAATTTTGAAGATTTATCAAGATTCTATATCAGAATCAACAATGATGGTTTGATTCAAACTTTGGTATTGAAATCAAAATCAAAATCAAAAACTCACTAATTAAAATGAATTTTAATAATAAAAGTAGCTAGCATGTATGTTTGGTTATTACATTTGTGTAACATGGGCCATTGTTGAAGGAATCTGAACCTAAATCTCGTCCAAATGCATTTTATTTTATTATTTTGTGTAGTAAGATATATATAGATACACTGTAATACCTCATTCAAGCCTTCAGACACATTTTAATAAATTGATTAATCTAAAATAAGTTGATAGCTTAATTTTGTTAACCTTTATGATATTGCGAGTAATTATGATTTCCAACATCTAATTTGAATGTACGAATGTAGAAGTAGTTGTGTTAATCTTAATTAAGGGATGGTGCCGTTTTAATGCTTACACCCATTTCTAAGGCACTGACAAATATGATTACACCACAGTTGTTAATGCTTTTTTTTCTTTTTTTTTGAAAAGTTAATGTTGTTAATCTCGTAATATCAATAGTCGATTTTTTCTTAACATTACAAACATTTAGAGAAATTGTAAGTCACGTTAAGACATATACAATTTCTTCTCTCTTTATTTTTTATATACATTCCGCCTCCTCTTTTATTTATATATTGTTCTGCACTTCTAATCTTAACCCGATTTGAGAATTGTTACAAAAGATTATGTGAAATGACTTGATTAGAAAATTTGTTAGCAAACACCTACAAATGGACTTCACCTAATATATATTGCTTTGTTTATATAAAATTATTAATGTATGTAGTAAGTGACAATAATGTTAAGTGGGGATGAGTAGATATATATATATAATTAAGTGGGAATTGGTAGGTAGATATGATGGATGTCCATATTGAAGTTATGCAGAAATGTTTTTGTATTTGAAAAACACTAAAAAACGTGTTTAATTTTATAAATTTATGTGTTAAATTTGAAAATAGAAGTGTTTCGTTTTCTTTTTGTTATAATCTATAAATAATTAATTTCCAACCAATAAACTCTATATTTGATATTTTAATTTTTATTTTCTAATTATTACGGCATATTATCTTTTTGGTTAGGCTATGAAGTATATTGAGCAGGCTTTAACTGTAGAATACACCTTTAATCCTGTATCATATTGATGTTCCTATATGAGAGGGGTTTGAACTTTCGATCTCTCTTATGTAATGCGTGACACGAAATAAATGTTTTTTGATTTTTTTTTAAAGAATGATGTTTTACTGAAATAAAAGGACAAAGTTTAAATAATACTGCATAGCGCAACTAGTAAAAATTAAAAATAAGATCTTAAATTATTATCTCTAGAAGGAAATATAAATTATACAAATGTGAATTTCGAAACAAAATAAAAAAAAAATTGTCATAAAAACAGACAACATAAAATAAAAATTGAAGAAAAGAATTTCATGAGATAGGTCAGTTATAAGTATTGCGATATTTATCATTAATAAACAATTTTACCTTAAATAATATCATAATTTCACATATAAATATTGTAATATCTATCACTTACAAATAACGATTTATTTTTAATTCAAATTGGTATTAAATTTTCTATAATAAGTATTATAATTTCTTTGAAAAGTAACATTTCACATCTAAGTAATACAATATTTATATTAGAATAAATACTTTGTAAGTATCATAATTTCAATTATAAGTATTACAATATTTATCATTAGTAACAACTAGTATGATACCCGTGCGATGCACGGGATGAATATTGTTCATCTTATTGTGTAATTGTGTGAAAATTTTAAGAGATGATGTAATATATAAAAAGTTGGAACAGAAATATAAAATGGAAAATAGAAACAATAAAGAAATTACTTTAACATACAATATAGAAAAATAAGAGTGACAAAATTACAAATTATTGAAAATTTCGTGGTATACCACATTCGTTGTTGATGTAATAGAGGAACTTGAGTTCTTGGCAATCAATATTTTAAGACCATCTGGGTTGTTAACTCGAGAAGCAGCCACATACAACTAACCATGCACAAAAACTGGTTTTTTAAGTAACAATCCTACATGTGACAATGTTTGACCTTGACTTTTGTTAATAGTCATTGCATATGATAACATCAATGAGAATTGTCCTCATTGAAACTTGAATGGCAACCTGGTATTAGATGGTGACATTGACATTCTGGGGATCAATAATTTTGTTCCTTTGTTAGCACTTAGCACCATCCATTAACTCAGCTTCAATTACACGGTCTGCTAACTTGGTGATTACAACCGCGTACTATTACACAATCCAACTGAATGATCAATATTTCTTAACAACATGACTAGTGAGCCAATTTTTAAAGTTAATGAATGATTTGGTACTCCTAAAGCTCTAATGCCGTTAAAAAATTTCGGTGTGTGTACATCACCCAGTATTCCAACGTCTGCATCGGCTTTGCACACTGTGTCACAACTAAAATATGTTCTAGTTTCAGCCGTATGCAACTCACTCATATGCTGTACATGTTTGCACGACAAAACTGAATGAATAAAACAACTGGATTAGGGTTGTCATAGTTGACATGCTGTAATAGTTGATCAACATATTGCTCCCAAAATGTGCAAGGTAAACGTCTCTCTCTGAAAAGAGGAAAAAAAAAAAGATTGTTATAAGGCGTACACACATTAGGAAACACATATAATTCATGATTAAGTATAAAGTTGATTAATATAACATGACTTACTCATGATCCTGAAGAACAAAGTGGATGAACTTGGTCTCTCGTCCATTAATTATGGTTGTACGTGGAGATTCAATCGAGACAACAGAACCAACCAAATCTATAGAGATTTATCATCATAACAATAATTACTATATATATATATATATATATATATATATATATATATATAGATTTTGGTTCATGTGAGGTCATGTCTTCCCGTGCGGTCAGTGCGACATACACCATTAGGTATGTATAAATGCACCATACAGTGTTCGAAAATACACCAGAATGAAATGTCAAAAATACACCACAAAAAAAAAAAAAAAAAAATACACCACACATAATGGTGTATTTTCGAACACTGTGTGGTGCATTTTTACATACCTAATGGTGTATGCCGCACTGACCGCACGGGAAGACCTGACCTCACAGGAACCTGACCCTATATATATATATATATATATATATATATATATATATATATATATATATATATATATATATATATATATATATATATATATATATATATATATCTACTATACTAATAAGAGCCCAAGAGAGTTAGGCCTATAATGGGTAGAAAAAATGGCGGTCACAGATTTTAATCAAATGAATGGCTCAGATTGATTAAAAGATTGATAAGATTTAAATTTTACACTAAAATTTCCTAAAATAACCACACACCGTTACTAATTCCGTTAAAATTTTAAGAATTGCCGTTAGTTCACCGTTAACTTACTCATTGATTTCAATAATAATAATAATAATAATAATAATATAAAAAAAAAAAAAAAAAAAAAGGTCTTAGATTCGAACCTCATCCCAATCAAAGTTGGCATAATTAGTACTTTATTTTACTCTTATTAAATTATATAAATAATAATTTAGTAGCTACAACAAAAAATTATAGATATGCATTTCTTTAATTTAGAATTATGTGTCCACAATGCCTTTATTCAAAAAAAAAATATTCATTATCAATAAATTAAATAAGAGAAATAATTGTATTAGTTATATTGTCTTTATTTTTCTACAATATAAAAATTCTTTATATTCAAATTTATTAATTGATTATATTCGCTACATTGTCCTTACAATGTCTTAATTCAGTGAAAAAAAATTATTCATTATCAATAAATTAATTAAGAGAAATATTTTCATTAGTTATATTGTCTTTATTTTTCTCAAATGTAAAAATTTTTACATTCAAATTCATCAATTGATTATATTCACTACATTGTCTATTATCTTTTTTTTTTGCACTATTTTTCTAATTAAATATCAAAGTTATAATACAAAATAATGCTATATATTTATTTACCAAGTATTTTATTAATATCATGAAAAAAATTTAAAAAATATATAATTAATAATGCCAACCATATTAACTACTTGAGAGATTTTGTGACAAAGAGAGTATTCAAATCACACAACAAATTGAAGTGAGAACTACCTTGCAATGTCCTTGTTTGACAATCAGCATTTAGCGCGTGGATTATATTAGCGGATTTGACCAACGAATTTATTTAATTATTAACATTGGGTAGAAAAAATGACCGCCAAATTATTAAATCAAATGAATGGTTCAAATTGTTCAGGTTTTAATTTTTTTTAAAATTTTTCTAATTTATCCTTAATTATATGATTATCCATTTAACTTTTCCGTTAAATACCGTTAATTCACCGTTAGTCTAATTATAATATTAACGTCTAATATAGAATTATAATTACACCATTAATCTAATTCTAATATTAAAGTCTTAATAGAACTTAACCACAAATCCTAATGTCGAAATCTCCTCAAACAATATTAGTATATATTTAATATTTTATGCCCTAATTTTTGTTTGTTCTCCCTTATGTCCCGTATTTGGTTTCAACCATACCTATACAATTATTTTATTGACAATTATAATCAATCTTGACTATATTATCTTGCATTTGTAAACTTAGAATTACCTATTTAACCCGCATGGGCTTAGCTCAATAGTTTAGTGGACAGTATTTGGGAGAAGAGACCAAGGTTTGAACCTTGGCGGCGGCAGTGCGGGAATTATGTCCAAAGTGGGCAGATTCCTTGTTCGCACCGGCATTTGGTCATGTCTGCTGAACCATTGAGTCACCGTGATTTACAACTTCCTACAATGCTCTGTCGGGTCAGAGTGTGGGGGGCCCTTGGGGTAGGGGACTCAACCTTTGGGAGAAGAATTACCTATTTAAATACGCAAATTCAACCTTCAATTATCTATGCATGAACAATTTCAATATAATATTGCCTTAATATACTTTAAAGTACTTATTTAAAAAAAACATTGGGCATTATCCCAATCGCGCAATGTGCGTAAAAAACTAGTATATATATATAGAGGAAGGTTCAAGTGCGGCGGTGCGGTCAATTGTAGGTCATTAGATTAGATAAATCCAATGAATCACATTCGTCAGGGCTTCTCTGATATTTTCGCGCACGTTCTCACTCTACGCGAACTGCAAGGCTAAAGTCGTCACTGGGCACCAGAAGAGGGCAAATCATAGTGTTGTGTGTTTTATATTCGTTATTGGTGCATTATTAACCTTACTCGGGTGTATTTGTGGATTAGTGTTGGTGCCTTCCCCTGAGGTCAGTGCGACCGCACTAATAGTTATACAAATATACATCATCCATGTTAGAAAATGCACACAAAAAAACATGCACAAATTCGGTACGCATCACCAGGGCACACCATTAGGCAAGGTTGCAAAACTCGGCCGCCTAGGCGCTAGGCGGCCCCGAGCCTTGGAGTTTTGGCCAAAACTCGGCCGGCCGCCTAGGCGGCCTGGGCGGCCAAACTCGGCCGAGTCGACCGATTTAGTCCGATTTTGACCGATTTTGTTCGATTTTGACCGATATCGTCTTTCATTAATTATTGATTTTAATATTATTATGACATTATGACTTATAAATTATCATTATTTTATTTATTTAGATGTGTTATTTGAGTGAACGTTGAAAACAGCCTCATTAAAATTGTCGAACTACAAGTCTGTTACTATTTTTTTTAATTTTTTTGGTGCCCGCCTAGCGCCGCCTAGAATCCGCCTAGGCGCCGCCTAGACCGCCTAGGCGCTAGGCGCTGTCCGGCCGCCCGACTAGCGCCGCCTAGAATCCGCCTAGGCGCCGCCTAGACCGCCTAGGCGCTAGGCGCTGTCCGGCCGCCCGACTAGCGCCTAGCGCCTACTGCAACCATGCCATTAGGTATGAATAAAAGCACCACACAGTGTTCGAAAATACACCATTGGGGTGGTGAGTTATATGATGTATTTTTTGGGTGTGTTGTGTGTTATTTTGGTCTATTTGTGCACTTCATTGTTGTGCATTCCTAACACTATTAGTGTCTTTTGTTAACACTGTTGGTGTATTTTGTTAACACTGTTGGTGTATTCTGTTAAACGACTGATATAAATGATCACTATAATTACCATAATACCCCCGCTTACCAAAATGTGCTTAAATCTTCAGAAATTAGCTGCTGCCGTCAGATTAAGCAAAATGGACGATGTTGATATAACCGCACCGCCGCACCTAAAGACCCTGCCGCATATGAGCCTTATATATATATATATATATATATATATATATATATATATATATATATATATTACTTGAAATGATAAACAAAATGAGGACCGTAAATAGGTATTACCAATTGTTCGGAAGCATTAATTTGGGTAGGACCAAGTTGATCGAAAGCTTTCAACATGTATGTCATGTTTGGAAAGTCATTGTTGTTATACTGAAAGGCTTTTGTAGAATGCATGAACAGGATCTTGTATTTGTGGTGAGGAGTTTTGTATCTCATGTCATTTGTTGCAACGATAAAGTTTTTAATGGAGTACAAATGACCCTCAAAAAAGATTTTAATAAATTACACATGCATAGTAATTATAGTAATAATAATTCGTTAAAGCTAATAGGGTGCAGGATTCCGCGTTTCTGTATGTGAATAATTCGTTTTGTAAGGCTAATTCGTTATTATAGTATAGTATAGTATTATTAAATTTTATTATTATTATTATTATTATTATTATTATTATTATTATTATTATTATTATAAAGAGTAATAGTAATTATAGTAATAATAATTGGCTAATAGGATGATTTCGCGTTTCTGTGTTGTTATTAAGGCTGATTTTACGTTGTGTATTAAGGATTGATTTAATTATGATTGATTTAATTTAAATAATTTAATTAAGGATGATTGAATTTAATTTAGGATGATTTAATTTAATTAAGGATGATTATTTGTAATACTAAATATATAGACTGATTTAATTAAGGATGATTTAATTTAATTAAGGATGATTTAATTTAATTAAGAATGATTATTTGTGATACTAAATATATAGACTGATTTAATTTAATTAAGGATGATCATTTGTAATACTAAATATATATATGGTGGTTTAATTTAAATAATTTAATTTAATTAAAATGCTATATTATAATAACGAATTAATAATAATAATAATAATAATAATAATATTAATAATAATAATAATATAATAGTAACCAATATTATATTCTTCTTTTACTCAACATGTTAAATTACATGAATTTATTTATAAATTGGCTTATTTGTTATTATAGTATATTATTATTATTATTATTATTATTATTATTATTATTATTATTATTATTATAATAGTAAATAGTAGTTATAGTAATAATATTTCGTTAAGTCTAATAGGATCCATGATTTCACGTTTCTGTATGTGAAAAATTCGTTCTGTATGTAAATTATTATTACTATAATATATATATATATATATATATATATATATAATTTTATATAATAATAATAATAATATTAATATTATATTCTTCTTTTACTCAACATGTTAAATTGCATGAATTACATGAATCTATTTATAAAATAATATGAATACAATAAATATTTTCACATTTGGAGGGAAAATTTTTGAGAATTACATGAATCTATTTATAAATTAATATAAATACAATAAATGTTTTCACATTTGGAGGAAAATTTTTTGGGACAATTATTTTGCTTTAATATATATAGAGATCATTTGCCTTAAATAATATCTCAATTTCACATATAAATATTACAATATCTATTATAAGTAATAATTTATTTATTTCAAATTTGCATTAAATTTTCTAGCTGTACTAAATATTATGATTTCTATCATAAGCAACAAACAACTTAACTATCATAGATCCTACCCGTTTCACATATTAAGATATGTGAGACGGTCTCACACAAGTGTAAATCTAATATATATAGTTAAAATTGAAGGAGATTATAATAATATTAATAAGTGTCAATGACTTTATGGTCTAGTAACATGACACTTTTAAATGGGAGGTCACAAATTCAATCCCCATGGTACCTTTCTACCTGCCTTGCAAGTCTTGACGCCCACATAAATGTGAAACTCTTTCACTACAACTATCAGGTTTCATTGGTGCAATCTTTCACCGGTTACAATTTAGATTATTGTTGGAAGTGACGAATGGAAAGGTACTGTTTTGAGCAACCAATTACAGAAACGGCAAAATACAATAATGGAAAGTTTCCTACTTCCCGAGGCCAGGTATAAAAAAATATCATATCACGGAGTACATTAGTGGCAGTCCTTTTCATGCAACAAATTAACTGCGTTCTTGAGTGGCCCAGTCAGCTTCAGCAATCTTTTCTGATAAATCCTTCATATCGTCAGATTCCCCGTGGCCCACTAAAAAAATACAGCATTGAGTGTGAGTACAAAATACAAACAAATTTACTATTCGTCACTTTCTCTCTCCTGTTCCTCTTCCAATTTACAGAGAGAGAGAGGAATGGGGAAACAGAAGGGCCTGGAGGCCACACTCTTGACTGGCAGCGAATTGGGTTTCAACCAGAAGAGATGGAGGAGAGCTCTCTGGGTTTTACTCGCCCTCATAGCCATAGCTTGTAAGTTTTGGAGTATTTGACTTTCATTTATTATTTTTCTTGTTCTTGAAATCATGGGTTTATTTGTTATTATAATCGGAAATTCAACCATATATGATCTGAATTTTGTGTTACTGTGATTGATGGTCTGACTTCTGGAACCATAGGTTTTGAACTTATTTATCCAAGTTGGAAACTTTTTAGGTGATATATATGTGTGGTCTGATAATGAAGCATATCAGCAGGCAAAACGACAGATTTCCCAATCATCAGAATTTTTTACCTTGATTAAAATAGAGGTTTTTGTGTTTTACTCCCTCAATGCTTGGAATCTTTAGTATTTTGGTTCTTTATTGGCATTTAGGTCTAGGGGTAGTTCTATACAGCAGCTTGAGCATTTGGACAGCAGGAGATGGGAACAAGTTTAGTGGAAGGCAGGGCCAGAAGGCGGCTGTTGCTGCTGATGATGGTCGTTGTTCTAAGGTCGGGTTATCCATACTTGAAACGGGAGGTCATGCCGTTGATGCTGCAGTTGCAACTGCTCTCTGTCTCGGGGTTGTCAATCCGGTGTCTAGTGGGATTGGAGGCGGGGCTTTCATGCTCGTGAGGTCTGAGTCAACCTCAGAAGTTGAAGCAATTGACATGAGGGAAACTGCTCCTTTAGCTGCTTCAAAGGTTTCAACTTTATCTGTTTAATTAACATTAGTTTCTCCAAAACATAGATTCTCAGTTCATGAATTCGACAGATCAAACATAGATTGCAGGAATCTCAAGTTCTGTTGTTTGTTTGTTTGTTCTGATCCTCTGTGCTCTCGTTTTTTGTTTTATTGTTATCGAACAGGACATGTATGAGAACGACATTGATTCCAAGACGGTGGGGGCTCTCTCGATGGGAGTTCCCGGTGAGGTAGCTGGCCTTCATGAAGCTTGGTTGAAACACGGGCGATTGCCATGGAACACTCTATTCCAACCCGCCATCAAGCTTGCTAGGTATGGGTTTGTTGTCGCTACATATCTAGCAATCGACATTGCTAAAAACGAAGACCTTATAATGAACGACCCTGGCTTGCGAGGAGTATATGCACCAAATGGGAAATTGTTACAAGAGGGAGATATATGCTACAATGTAGAACTTAGCAACAGCTTAGAGGCAATTGCAGAACAAGGACCCGAGGCATTCTATAATGGAACGGTTGGCGAAAAGCTGGTTGAAGATGTACAAAAAGCCGGTGGGATATTGACAATGGAGGATTTAAGGAACTATAGAGTGAAATTTCGAGATCCAATCGTTGTTAATGCAATGGGATATACCATCTTTGGCATGCCTCCTCCATCGAGTGGAACAGTGGGTCTCTCTCTGGTGGGGACCTTGTATTAGCTGCTGCTGATTTTGTGAACATAAATTGTTTCATTTGACTAAACAAACAAGTAGTACATTGGTGAATTGCAGATTCTTAAAGTCCTAGAAAGCTATCCAAGTTCTATTGCTGCAGAAGGTCCTCTAGGTCTGCATCGCATGATTGAAGCGGTGAAGCACATGCTTGGTGTACGAATGGACCTTGGCGATCCCGACTTTGTGAATGTCAGTAGCATTGTCTATGACATGCTTTCCCCGTCTTTTGCAAAGATGATTCAACAGCGGATATATGACAACACCACTTTCCCATCTGAATACTATATGCCAAGGTGAGGAAAGAATATCTGGAGTTCTCCTTACAGTTTTCATGGTTGTAAACCTTCCTTTCGTTTTTTCCAGGTGGAGTCAGCTTCGAGACCATGGAACCAGCCACTTCTGTATCGTAGATGCTGATCGAAATGCAGTATCAATGACAACCACGGTGAACTATGTCTTTGGAGGTGGTGTCATGTCTCCTTCAACTGGCATTGTGCTCAATAACGAAATGGGAGATTTCTCAGCGCCTACAGAAGTATCCCCCGATAAGCTCCCTCCCTCTCCAGCCAATTTCATTAGCCCGAACAAAAGACCATTATCCTCCATGACCCCCATCGTTGTTCTTAAGGTACATTCTCCATTGATGATTGTGAATGAACTCTTTTCATTTCTTCCTCTGCAAAACAGTTTACAGTAAAAGTAAAGACAAGGATACTTGTGATCTTTAGACAACCATATCCTCAATTCTTGACTAATAAGTAATAGCTGTGTTACCTGTTCTAAGTAGCTGTTCCTTCTGCAATATTGATAGGATAATCAGTTGGCTGCTGTGATTGGAGGTAGCGGTGGGACGAACATAATTGCAACAGTAGCCCAAGTTTTCCTCAACCATCTTGTCTTGGGCATGGATCCCTTAGAAGCAGTTCAGAGTCCAAGAGTTTATCACAAGGTTACACAGCTTGTAATCCATATAACTGTATAACTTCACCATTTTCACAGTTTATAACCATTGGTGACCTGCATTCTGGTCTCTGCAGCTAATTCCCAACACAGTATTGTACGAAAACTGGACCATCATGGATGGTGAACACATTGAGCTCTCGGGTGGCAGGCGGCGTTTCTTGGAAGATAGAGGTCATCAGCTGCAGGCACAAGAAAGTGGAGCAATCTGCCAACTTCTTGTTCAGAACCTACCAAAACCTGGGCAATGGTTGAACAATGGAACCTTTCATGGCATGCTCACTGCTGTGAGTGATCCAAGAAAAGGTGGAAGCCCTGCAGCCATCTGATCCCTTCATCTTCCATTATTTCTTAATTTATGTATCATAGAGGAAAAAGGCTTGGTTACAACAATGGCTGCCTGTTTCACATGTTGATACATTATACATAAGGGAGCATATCATTCATAATTTCTATATCATTAAGAAAGGCTTTTTTCTTTTTTCTACTCTTTCTGTATAGGTAAGTTAAGTACTTGAATGGTAAATAAAACAATTTGCATTTGAACATAATTGGATTGCCTGATAAGTCATTAGTACAAAACACACAAGTATTAAAAAGGGCACTAAACAAAATAAAAGTAATACATGCAGAGGGATGGCAATGCTCATTGTGCTTCGCCCCGCTATTTATGATGCTTTTTCCATAAGCTGTATTGGAGCCAGAATGTTGGACTTGCTAGTCTCGACAACACACCCATTCATTACCATCTCCTCCAGCATGAAATGCGCTTTCTCGAGATGAAACATGATATCCAACTCACACTATTAAATCCACAATGGAATGAATCAGAAAGAGAAATCTATTGATAATATGATATGTAGTGCGAAGATTCTATTCATTGCTAGCTCACCACATTGCCAAAATGACGATCCATTGTCTCAACTAGAAGGTGAATAAATTCCAAAATGGCAAGCTCATTCTGCAAATAGAAGAGCACATGACATGAAAGACAGAAAGTCAAATAGAACACTAAAGTTTCATGTTTAAATTAAAAGGCTGATCGATAGTAGAAATGTGCATAGGATTACAAGACAGTTCGTGGTTAGCTAAAAAGCATTGCCACTGCTGTCAAAGATGTTGCTTATCTACGTCTACAAACTTAAGAGCCAAAATGGGATTATATTTTGTTCTTTCTCTTCACTCTCCCCACACAAAAAAGAACAGAAACATTAAAGTGTTTGTAAATAGCTGTTAGCTGGTTGGGTTAGTGGGTTTGACTAGTTGATAGCATTAGTTGATTATAGAAAACTCTTTAGTAAATTAGCTGTTAGTTGATTACATGCAAAATGACTTTCTCAAAAAGCTTATCGAAAAAACTGTTTTGAGCAGTTTTTTGAATTTTAACATTTTGGAGCAATATGTTGTTACAAAAAACCAATTAATCGAACACTCATATAGTCATATTGATTGTTTAACCAAGACAAACTGCTAATAGTGGTCAAATAAGCCAAAATTGGCTAATAAGCTAACTATGTTACCAAACAGGGCCTTAGTGTGTCTTAACTCTTAATACAAGAAAAATACACTCATTGAAAGTAGGAATCTAACTCATATTGTTGCAGATGAAAATGAAATAGATAGGAAGAGAGACCAAACTTGCATATTATGTATCTATAATTCTATATCAATATACAGTAAATAAATACGTCAAACTAAACTTACTTCTTCATTGTCAACTCCAACCAGGAAAAACAGTGACGCGTATCTCCTGTACACTACTTTGTAGTTACGATGCTCCACAAATGAACACTGCATTCAGAACCCAGGGAAAGGGAGGCATCAAAATGATTTATAAAAGCCTATCAGCAATCAATAAAATTCCTACCAGTATCAATCAAGCATGAACTTCAAGTTCCAAGATAAGATATGTAAACAACAAACTGTTTAAAAATGGCTTCCCCTTCAAGGTCATGTAACTCGTAAAGCAACAATGCCAATTCTATTGTTAATTCCGCCTACTCCTGACAGCATAAAATCCACTATCTAATGAGTCACACATTCTTCTGAAAATCATTTTTGCCATTAATTTCACCCAGAGAGAGAGAGCACCTTTCAAGTCTTAATGCTCCTTTGGTGCTCAAGCATCATGCTAGCTCCTTTATAAACACTTATTACACCCGTATTAATGTGGATCTTGACAGGTCTAATTCTAATTCTTCATAACTTTGTTTCGGTAATCCATACAAATCAAGAACCCTACAATCTCATACAACTGACTTAGTTCCTCTTACTCATAAACAGCAAAAGATTGAGAAGACAACAATTTCATGATCATTGATAACTTCAACCTTATAGCTCTTCCCAATTCTTCAAATTTCCTACCTCACAGAAACACCATAAATTTACAAGTCTCAAATACTAAATGAAAAACATTCAAAATGCTCCAAACCCCAGATTTCTAGTCAAATTTCACCCCCACCACGCACACACAAACAGTAAACTAACGACCCAAATCCAGATTCAGAGGAATATAACAAAATTTGTGTTGATTACAAAGAATTTAGAAGAGGATGACCTGGTGTTCGGTACGAGTGAGGCACTTGCGAACAATTTCACCTTCAAGGGCACGTCTTTGTTCGAGAGTGAGGTATTCGTAGTACTGGGCTAGCCGAGTCTGCCCTTGCTTGTTCACCATCAGTACGAATCTAATCCCCATCTCTTTCTCCTTTCCACCTCTACTGCCGACAATTTCGTGATTCTCTCTCTCTCTCTCTCTCTCTCTCTCTCTCTCTCTCTCTCTCTCTCTCTCTCTCTTTCAAGTGATATTCTCATATAGGCGTTTACACTTTATTGTGTTCCGTCTATTTCAGGCAGCGATAACTCCAATGTATAGTAACTCCATCGTAATTTGTTTTGAGTACTAAGTAGATATTGTATCACTCAATATATATATATACCTTCTGATAAATTCATGCACAAAATCTCATAATACGGTTTATTCCCTGTGTGGTTTAAACGCTAATTACACATGAGCGGAATTTACATCATACACACATTTAAATAATGCACTTGAGTGTGCGCAAACACACAAATTGATAATTAGTATCATTGATAATTGATTGCAACCATGTAGTAATATGTTTTATTACAAAATCGATATGATACAAAAGGCAAGTTGACTTATTTGTTCAAAATTACAAAAAATTTTATTGTGCATTTTTTTTTTAATTATCTTCAATCTGGACTGTTGATTTGGACTGCATTTATGATTGAGATTTAACCCTATTTTTTTTTACCTAAAGACCTCTTACGCATTTGATCCGCATCCTATAAATATAAAGGAATAAGGGTTAAATAGGCCACTCAACTGCACACCAAAGTGCAATTAGGCCATTGAACTTAAAAAGAATGCAATTAAGCCATTGAACAACACAAAAATAAACAATTTAGCCCAAAATGACTTGTTTACCTAGAATAGTAAGTTACCAATTTCAAAATTAATTTTTTAAAATAATTTTTAATAAATAAATAATTAAATTATTATTAAAAAAAAAAAAAAAAAAAAAAAAAAAAAAAAAACAGAAACTTCCGGCCGGCCGGCTACGTCTCCAGCCATGGAGACAAAGACCTTTGTCTCCATGGCCAGGGAGACGAAGGGACGTCCCTTCGTCTCCCTGGCCATGGAGACAAAGGACGTCATCTCCATGGCCGAAGACGATTCGTCTCCATAGCCATGGAGACGAAGGTCTTTGTCTCCATGGCTGGAGACGGAGGTTCGTCTCCAGCCATGGAGACAAAGCCGGCCGGAGACGATTCGTCTCCGGCCGGCAGTTTCTGTTTTTTTTTTTTTTTTTTTTTTAAATTTATTTATTTATTAATATTTTAATTATTTATTTATTAAAAGTTATTTTAAAAAATTAATTTTGAAATTGGTAACTTGCTACTCTAGGAAAACAAGTCATTTTGGGCTAAATTGTATGTTTTTGTGTTGTTCAATGGCTTAATTGCATTCTTTTTGAGTTCAATGGCCTAATTGCACTTTAGTGTGCAGTTGAGGGGCCTATTTGACCCTTATTCCAAATATAAATATAAATATTATGACAAAGACAAGAATGTTAGTTGAATGAACATATATAATATATCATTATTATTATTATTATCAAAACTTTCCTCCCATGAGATAGTCCAAGCTTTGGGTACTACTCATTGACAACAGATTTCACCATCTCTCCAAGTTCTTCCCATCTCTGATAGCAAAACATAAAAAAATATTAGCTCATCATTATATATATATAAAGTATGTGGACATTTAAAGAGCAAAAAACAAAAAATTTGGAGTAAAAGGTAAAAAAATCTTACATTTTCCTTGACGGAACGATAATGCACAGTACAAACAAGCAAAACTTGTTGTTTTCCACTTTGACTTTAGGGACAGATTCGGTTTTCTCCAGTAATACTTTTTATATATTTGAAAGTGAAAAATTATACATTCAAGTAAAAAAAAAAAAAAAAAAAGTTACTCCGTAGTACGGAGTACATTTTAAGGGCCGGGGATGTTTTAACTTTTACCATATACTGAATACAAATACACAAGAAAAACCCAACATCTTCAATCATGAGTAAAAATTATTTGGCAGGTTGGTAGTTTACAATTTAGTTGATTGCCTTTAAAGGCCCTATAGGTTAGGGGTTTCAAACTCATCTGCTCCTCCCGATCCGTGATGCCCTTTGCTTCTTCTGATTCTCCGCCCAAGACTCCCATGAATTGAAACCCCTAACCTATAGGGCTTTTTTTTTTTATTTTTTTATTTTTTTTTTAAAGAGGGGGGATTAAATCCTAGATCAATAGTTGATCCTCACAATGCTCTGAGCACCAAGAAAGCCGATCTCGTCTTCACGCAATAATTTTTGAATGTTCCTTGGTGGGCAATCGAACCACTTAAACTCGTTGTCGTTATTGCAAGCTTCTCTCGTTAATGCGTCAACTACTCTGTTTTGTTCTTTCGGAATATGGTTGAAAGTAATCTCATGTATCAGTGATAAGCTCCACTGCCTTTTTATAATCAGATTCAAAAGACACTTTTTTATAGCCTTTCTCCCATGCTTTCTCCATCCCCATAAGGATGCACCTAGCTATAGGGCTTTCACACACACATACATGCATCACTCCCTCTTTTGTATATGTAATTAATGAAGATACTATCTAGAAAGGATGCTTTTCTCACCTTTATCACCAATAAAGTTGGATTATATTGCTCTATCCCAATATTAGTTTTATAGTAACGGGCTTCTTTGTTTTTGTATATATATATATATATATATATATATATATATATATATATTGCTCTAATCTCTAGGGTTAGAAAATTCCGATAAGTGCATTCATTAAATTACTTATGTATGTACCTGTTTTGCAATGTACGTATGTAGTCCACCTTTGATTCATTCATTGATCTAGTATATATGTGGAAAGATTGATCTAGTATATATATGTGTATTTATTAAATATATTAGAACCATTTGCAAAGTACCTGTTTTGCAAGACAGGTACCGTTGATTCATTCATTGATCTAGTATATATATGTGCATTCATTAAATATATTAGAACTCTTTACAACAAAAATACTTGGTTACTATTTAAAAAAAAAGTTTAGTAACAATTATAATAAATCTCTTATATTATATTATATTCATTTACATATTTAAATAAATAAATTCGACATTATTAGGCAGTTAGTTTTTGGTTAGACTTTTATGTGTAGTTAGAGACTAATAAGGAGTGGTTATCTATTTCCTTGTTAACCTCTTCTGTATAAATAGCGTTGTATTCCCTTGCTTTTGTATAATCAATATATTATAAACTTCATCTGGTATCAGTCAGTCACTCCCAATCTCATGGCCACAAATGACAATATCTCCCTCCCGGATACGGCGAACACTTCCACAGACGGCTCGGCAGCGGCTGTCACCGTCTCCGAGCAACGTTCGTCCTCCATGCTCCAACAAGCGCACCACTACGTCTCCCTCAAGCTGTCTTCTTCGAATTTCCTTTTCTGGAAAGCCCAACTTGTTCCCTTCCTGCGTGGCCAAAGCTTGTATGGGTACGTTGATGGCACCCATCAGTGTCCACCGGAGTTCCTCGCAGCTTCGTCGACTGCCACGCCTGTTCTGAATCCGAGTCATGCCATATGGATCCAACAGGATCAGTCAATACTCAGCATGCTCATTTCATCCATGACGGAGGAGATACTTTATCTAGCCATTGGTCACTCCACGTCTCGCGCTGTCTGGGTTGCCGTGGAGACGGCGTTGGGTTCTGCTTCTCGCTCCCGGTCGCTCAGCCTGCTGTCTCAGTTACAAGGTCTTCAGCAAGGTGACTCATCTCCGGCTGTATATCTCGGTAAGGCGCAGGTTCTAGTTGAGCAGCTTGCTCAAGCTGGACGCCCTATCAGCCTGGATGAGCAGAACCTGCATGTTTTCCATGGACTTCGGCCGGAATACCGCGGCCTTGTTGCATCCCTCACGACGAAAAGCTCCCCTCTTACGATTCTAGAGGTTGCCGATCTTTTAGCAACTCATCAGTATCTGTTTCCAGATGAGACGTTGCCACCACCGCCCGCTACACCGACGATCATGGTGGCTCAGCAGTCCCAACCGTATTCAAACGCTGGGCGAGGTCGTGGGCGCAACAACAGAGGTCACCGGGGCGGCGGTGGAAGAAGACGAGGTCGCGGTGGGGTTCGTTGCCAAATTTGCGACGGCTCTGGACACACTGCTCTAACGTGTTACCGGCGCTTTGTTGATGTTTCCGGTCAAAGGATGGTCGCCGGACAGCCTGTAGCCCCAATGCCCCAGGCCCACATGGTCTCGCGTCAACTGCAGGACGACTACAATACTACCCCATTTTCCAACGTCTGGTTCCCGGACACGGGTGCGAATGCTCATGCAACCCCAAATGCAACAGCGTTAAGTAATGTTGAGCAATGCACCGGGGACGAGGCGTTGCGTGTGGGTGATGGTTCAGCACTCCCCATTCATAACACAGGTTCTTTAAATTTCTTTTCTAAGTCTCGGTCACTATCCCTAAATAGTGTCTTGCATGTTCCCAAATTACGTGCCTCCCTACTGTCTGTCCATAAATTCACCCGTGACAATGATGTTTATTTTGAATTTCACCCTACCCATTTTCTTGTGAAGGATCGTATCACCCGGGAGATTCTTCTTAGAGGTCCAAGTCACGCCGGGATGTACTCTCTCACCACGTCATCCCCAGTTGCGTTTCTCTCAGCCAAAGCGTCTCCCACAATATGGCATAATAGGCTCGGGCACCCTCATACCCGAGCTCTGCGTCAGGTTCTTGCTAGTTGTCCTGTTAGTGCTTCGTTACGGTCAATAAATTCTTTATGTACCGCGTGTCAGATGGGTAAGTCTGCGCGCTTCCCACTCACGCATATTGAGACTTCGAGTCAGTTTGTACTGGATTTGGTATTTACAGATATTTGGGGGCCATCACCGGTACCTTTTGTAGATGGTTTTAGGTATTTTGTCCTTTTTGTGGACGATTTTTTCCAGTTTATTTGGTATTATCCGATGAAGTTCAAATCGGATATTTATTCAATATTTGCTAAATTTCGTGCGTTAGTGGAAAATTCCTTTTCGACCACTATTAAGTGCATTCAGTCGGATATGGGTGGTGAATACCGAAAGTTGAACACGGTCTTTACCGCCGCAGGGATTTTACACAGACAGTCATCGCCGCATACACACGAGTAAAATGGCCGTGTGGAGCGGCGACACCGTCATGTGGTCGAGACTGGGTTAACTCTTCTTGCCCAAAGTCACGTACCACAAAAATATTGGCCTTTTGCCTTTGAGTCTGCCGTCCATCTAATAAATCATCTGCCCTTCACTGTTTCACAAAACATCAGTCCCTACTCCAAGTTGTACCATAAGCCACCTAATTACAGTTTGCTACGTGTGTTTGGGTGCGAGTGCTTTCCGTGCCTACGTCCGTACAATAGGCACAAGATGGATTATCGATCTACTTCATGTATATTTCTGGGTTACCCAGATTCATGTCTTGGCTACAGGTGTTTGGACAAGCAAACAGGCCGCATTTACATTGCCAGGCATGTGCGGTTCAACGAAGAGGTGTTTCCTTATGCAACTCACCCTACTGTTCAGACTGGGCCGAACACCGAAGCAGCAACACCACCTTGGGTGTCTTCACCGGTCTTATGCACGTCGGTTCCAATTCAGCCCGCATTGGTGTCCGAACCGGGCATAAGTCAGCCACAACTGCCGCAATTGCCGCCCCTCCCGACTTCTTCATCGACAGCAGGTGCGGCTTCCTCGTCTTATCAGCCGACCACTTCATCCACTACGTCAGGGGGGCGGCGCCGCGTCCGGCCTACTGTTCGGACGCATGTTATGCAACTACGGACGTCAACGCATGCGCAACATCGAAATCCGAGAACTCGCCCGACTGCGATGGTGGCCTCCGTAGATGATGACGAGCCCACTTGCCACTCGCAAGCTGTTAAGTCCTCACATTGGCGGGCGGCTATAGACACTGAGTTCAATGCTTTATTACAAAACCAAACCTGGCGGCTTGTTCCCCCGCGTCGAGATGTAAATGTAATAGGCAGTAAATGGGCTTTTCGTATTAAGCGGAAATCCGATGGCACCATTGACCGCTACAAGGCCTGACTCGTGGCAAGGGGTTTAACCAAGTGCCCGGTGAGGATTACTCCGAAACGTACAGTCCGGTGGTGAAACCAACCACCATTCGGCTCCTACTGGCTTTCGCCGTATCGAATAAGTGGGCTATGCGTCAATTGGATGTCCACAACGCATTTTTGAATGGGCACATTAACGAAGACATTTATATGCGGCAACCGCCCGGCTACACAAATCCAAATTTTCCTGACCATGTTTGTAAGCTACAGCGGTCGCTGTATGGGCTTAAACAGGCCCCTCGTGCGTGGTTTAAAAGACTACACGATTTTCTCTTACAGGTTGGATTTCGTCCGTCCAAAATGGATGTTTCTTTGTTTATTTTCGACTCTGGACAGGTCCGGGCATATGTGTTAGTCTACGTGGATGACATCCTTCTACTAGGCAACAACTCAGCAATGGTCGAAACAGTCATGGCCCAGCTGTCATCTACCTTTCGCATTCGTGATTTGGGGCGGCCTCGGTTCTTTTTAGGTATCGAGGCGACTTACAGCGATAATGGTCTGATGCTTTCACAACAAAGGTACATGAACGAACTCTTGCGCAAAGCCGGCATGGAATCTTGCAAACCGCTGTAAACTCCAATGGCGCTAGCTGCTTCAACTCCTACTGCAGGGTCTCCACCCCTCGATGATCCAACCCCATATAGACGTCTGGTTGGGTCCCTAATGTATCTACTAATCACTCATCCGGATCTGGCTTTTTCTGTGAATCGACTGTGTCAATTCATGCATACACCAACACAGGACAATTGGGCGTCACTCAAACGGGTGTTGCGCTATGTGCAAGGCACGCAGAGTCTGGGACTTCGTCTCACACAGTCATCTTCTCCGGTTGTGCATGCCTTTTCTGACTCCGATTGGGCGGGATGTTCTCTGGATCTAAAATCCACCGCTGGCTACGCCGTGTTTCTAGGCCCGAATCTTGTCTCTTGGACGTCTAGGAAGCAACGGACTGTCGCACGCTCTTCTACCGAAGCCGAGTACAAGTCTCTCGCCGACGTTGCTGCCGAAGTCACCTGGGTCCAGTCCTTGCTACGCGAACTTGGTTTGCTTTCCCCGACTATCCCGGTATTCTGGTGCGACAACTTAGGTGCAACATACCTGTGTGCTAATCCGGTGTTTCATGCCCGGACAAAGCACGTTGAAGTCGATTATCACTTCGTGCGAGATAAAGTGTCAACGGGAGCTCTAAAAGTGAACTTCGTCTCCACCAATGACCAGCTCGCCGACATCTTCACTAAGCCTCTCTCCTCAGCTCGCTTTGGTGATCTACGGTGCAAGCTTGGCGTGGTCCCGTGTCCCGCTTCAGCTTGAGGGGGAGTATTAGGCAATTAGTTTTTGGTTAGACTTTTATGTGTAGTTAGAGACTAATAAGGAGTGGTTATCTATTTCCTTGTTAACCTCTTCTGTATAAATAGCGTTGTATTCCCTTGCTTTTGTATAATCAATATATTATAAACTTCATCGACATTAAATTACTTATGTATGTACCTGCTTTGCAATGTACGCCCACCTGCTTTGCAATGTACGCCCAGTCACCCACTAGTTGCATTCTCTATATATAACCAACAAACGAGAATGATACACAAGTAAACGGAGGCTTAACACTGGGACTGGTAGAGTAAATTAGAAGCTGTGTACTCACTATGAATAAAGTCCACCGCTTGGTTAATACAAATGAGAATAACGACGGAATAGCAGCTGGAGAGAGAGAGGATCACGGAATAGCCATGGCTACCGGCGTAATATAGTTGAGGTAGTCTCACAAAGTCATATACCAGCTTTTGTGAAACTGCTCAATTGTATTATGCATGTACCCATGGTATCAACATCATGGGACCAACTGAAGGCAAACTACCAACCTGCCAAAGAATTTTTACCCATGATTATATTGAAGAGGTTGATTTTTTCTTCTTTACTTGTATTCAGTATACGGTAAAGGTTAAAATATCCACAACTCTTAAAATGTACTCCGTACTACAGATTAACTCTGTTTTTTTTTACTTGAATGTATAATTTTTCACTTTCAGATATATAAAGTTTTATTGGAGAAAATCGAATCTGTCCCTAAAGCCAAAGTAGAAAACAACAAGTTTTGCTTGTCTGTGCATTATCGTTCCGTCAAAGAAAATGTAAGATTTTTTACCTTTTACTCCGAATTTTTTGTTTTTTGCTCTTTAAATGTTCACATACTTTATATATATATATATAATGATATAATGATGAGCTACATTTTTTTATGTTCTGCTATTAGAGATGGGAAGAACTGAGAGAGATGGTGAAATCTGTTGTCAATGAGTACCCAAAGCTTGGACTATCTCATGGGAGGAAGGTACATAATAATAATTATATATTTATATATGTTAGTTCAACTAACATTCTTGTCTTTGTACCAAGACTATGTGGTCTAATGGTACCCGGGTTGGAAGATTGTGAGTTCAAGCCTCAGTGGAGGTGTTATTGGCTCCTTGTGTTTGCGGATTAATTGCGTACGAGGTCTTTAGGTAAAAAAATATGGTTAAGTCTCAACCATAGATGTAATCTAAATCAACAGCCCAAATTGAAGATAATTAAAAAAAATGTGATGTTGCATTCTTGTAATTTTGAGTAAATAAGTCAGTTTGTCTTTTGTATCCAAGTGCACATTTGTTCTTTTTCGAGTACACATATTCCTTTTCTTTAAGTGCATACTTTTTCTTCTTCGAGTGTATCACTTTTATTTCAGTACTTAGTTTCTATTTTAAGTGCACATTTTTGTGCCTTAGAGTGCAAATCTTTTGGCCTTAAAGTGCACGTTTTGTAACTTTCGAGTGCATGATTTTCTTTCTCAGAGTGCATAATTAATTTCATTCAATTTTTTTTTTTAGTGTACTTTTTTTTTCTTCCTTGCCTTCTAGTGATCCTCTTTATGCTTTCAAATTAAATGCTCAATTTAATGCCTAAAAGTGTATGTGTGTCTTACTATTGTGTAAAAATTAAAATAAAAAATAAAATTAAAAAAAAAACTTAGCATTCAAGTGAACCCTTTTGCTTTCAAGTGCACAGTTTTATGCCTTCAAGTGCATGTTTCCTTGTTAACCGAACCCGACACATAAAATGAGAATGATTGAGTATTATTTTTTGAAAGAATAATACGGAGTATTACTTATGAAGTGGAGGAGAGAGGGGAGAGTTGGTTGCAGGAGGTTGGGGATTTTGTCCCCTTGTGTAGGTCCCACAAAGGACTGCATATTCGTGCTTTTTTTTTTTTAACCTCTTTCTCTCATTTTTTTCTTTCCTAATCACACCTACAAAAACTCTTAAAATATCACACCAAAATACCTACTATTGGAAATGCACTTACCTTTGATTAAGAATGAATAAGTCTTTTCCACTCAACCACACCCTCCAGGTTACACTTCTAAACTAATTATAATATGTATTTAGTTGATTAGTATCATTGATAGCAACTAATGGCCCCGTTTTGAAAAAAATAGTTAACTTATAAGTCAATGTTGACTTATTTGACCACTATTAACTTTTAATTTGATTAAAAAATCAATATAAGTATTCATTTAATTAACTTTTTATAATTTCAAAATGCTAAAATTCAAAAAACTGCTCAAAGCAACTTTTATCAATTAACAACTAATTTATCAAACACTTTTCTACAATTAGCTAATGCTATCAACTAATTATACCCTCTAATTAACCCAATCATCTAACAGCCATTTACCAAACAGGGCCAACATGTTTTATTACAGAATCGATGTGATACATTGTTGAAGGATCTTCAACTGTATGTTTTTTTTTTCCTATTAATATTGCATGGATATTTACTGGTGGGCAAAATAGTAAAGATTTTTTATATATACATTACTGTACGAACTTATTGACAGTTCTCTTCCGCAGAAGCTGGTAGATTAAGATTACGAGACAGGAATTAGCAGGCACGAGCCTCTGTAAGCTGCCGGGTAACAGGTCCATAAACACCAGACACTTTCAACGTTGCGAATAGGCAAGAAAGTTTTGCTATCATGGGCCTTGTCCGACCCCCCATACGGGGGACGACTGCCAGCTGCCTACCAGAATAATCGTCGGGTGAGCTATGGTACCCTTCGAGATCTGCTCTTGTGATCAACACGGCATCTGCAGGCGAGAATGTAGTAGTTGATGCAGCACGCCACTGCTTGAATTCTTGAACAGCCTGTTAAATAGACAGATGGCAGAGCATAATGGTGAGCTTAGCCCCATCTTTAAACTACGCAAAATAATGTTAACCGAGGCTCCCTTGAGCCAGGGTTCATATGGGAAAAGGGTCAAATAAGCCCTTAAACTTTACTTGAAAAGCCAATTAGGTCCCTAAACTTTTAAAAAGTGCAATTACACCATTTTAACATGTTATATTGAGGCAATGGAGTCCAAGAACCGGTTAATGACCTGCTATTACAGGTCATTTCGGTTCAGAAGGTGACCAATTGGTCGCCTTCTCTGGTAGATGGCGACCAGCGACGGTTCGGCAGTCGTTAGTCGCCGGAGATGATGCCTGAACTGAAATGACCTGTAATAGCCGGTTCTTAGACTTCATTGCCTCAATATGACATGTTAAAGGGTATAATTACACTTTTTAGAAGTTTAGGAACCTAAGCTTAGGGACTTATTTGACCCTTTTCCCAAAAAAGAATCAAGTATTTGGCAAAATTTAAGAGAGACTCCCGGTATCAATTTAGCCTCTATACAATAAATGATCAGCTTATGTTCTTACCTTCCATTGGGAAGGAGCCAACAGTACTCTAGGTCTCACAGAGCGGACATATTCCAGTGCAGCTGCAGGAGTCATGTGTTTATACACCACCTGAAAAGTGAAAACCACGAAAGCATTGAAACCCACTTCCAATCCATATAACCGCCCCGAGATTTCAGAAGTAAACATGCAGCCTGAAAAGAATTAACTAGTAAAGAACCTTACCAAATAGCAAAGCACAACGGTGGTGCTCCTTCCTCTACCTGCTTTGCAATGTACGTATGTAGTCCGCCCACTAGTTGCATTCTCTATAACCAACAAACGAGAATGATACACAAGTAAACGGAGGCTTAACACTGGTAGAGTAAATTAGAAGCTGTGTACTCACTATGAATAAAGTCCACCGCTTGGTTAATATTGCCAAAGGATGGCGCAAAAAGATAATCTCTAGTTGGAATGACGAGGTGGTCTATCTCATGTGCCTAACAATTACAAAATAGAAAAAATGTGAACAAAGATAATCCCTTGAACTTGCTACACGTACTGAACCTCTTTGGTACATTTCCAAGGAAAGAATAGATTCCGGCCAGCAGCAAAATGTGAAGGCACATAAAAAAGAAGTTAACAATATATGTTCATAAACCCTCAGGAAAAAGAACTTGTTCTTTCCTAGCAATGAATGCCCGACAAGGGAAAAGGAATATATCACAACCATCTCTTCAAGAAGAAAACGATATTAACTATCAAACATTCAAACTTACACGATATAAAGACGTTGGAACCAAAGTTTCATAGGGCTCGTTCAAAGTGATCACACCACCAACGCCAAGCTGCTTCAAACGTGGAACATCCTTCGGAAATGGTACAGCTCCTAGCAAAATAAACTGTACATCCAGAACGAAATCACGCAAGCTTTATGTGCTCGTCATTTAGAAGTACCAAATGACCAAGGAAACAAACCAAAAGATACATATTCAGTTCTTTAACTTCTCCCAGTAATGTACAAACAAAAGAAACAAATTATTACTTCAATAATTATACACAGTTCAGACAAATTTTCCAAAATAGTTAGATCACCATAAGACTGAACTTGGCACCTCATTTGTGCCTGCTATAATAATATTTTCTATTTTCTTTAATCTCCACCATTTTTCTTCATAATTAAACAAAGAGTGACTGCAAATAACAGCAAATTTCAAATTCAAACACATCATCAAATACAAACAAGCATTCATCTAATGAACCAGCCATCTAACATCCCAAAACAATCAAAGGTATTAGTAAAGAATCTCAACAAAAGTACCGAACTTTCACTGTCTAGAAACTAAATTATCAAATTTTCACATCCTATAAACTAAATTAGCTAAATTAATTAATTTAGCAATAAAATTGGAAAACATACCTGATCAACCCGATCCCACCATCGAAACTCGGCCTGAATTTTGTTTCTGAAGACATTGTAGAGTAAGGTCGGGTAAAAGAGGATCCTAGCTCCAGCTCCGACCAGCGCTCTCTTCGCGTCGACCCGAACTATCATCAGGCTTCTCTCATTTTCACTACCACACTTACTCTCACTACTATCATCCAATTC